TGTAATTGTAAAGCGCTGTGAGCACCTGTAAAAGCGCTCTAATAAAAAATGTAATGCATTATTATTATTATTATTATTATTATTATTATTATTACTATTGACTCGCTGCACATTATCCCGCTTATTACAGTGTTATAACTGTATTATAGAGTGTCCTTATTGCTATAGAGAAATAGATATCTGAATGTTCAAATTGACCAATAAGAGACTAGTATTTAACCAAGCCGTGTAATAACACTAAATGTTTGTTGTGGCCACCACATAAACTATATTTTGATGTTGACATGTGCTCGATGTGTTTCAGGTATCGCTATGATCTGGAGGAGTTTCCTGCCATGCTGTACGGGGTCAAGACCCGGGCTCAGTCTTACGACACCTGGGCAAAGAGGGTCAGCGATGGCTTGGTTGCCGACCAGAAAAACAAGAAAGGTTTTACACTTAAATCGCACTACAGGATATATGCATGTTGCATATTTCTATTCTCCCATTGCATGGTTGTTTTTTTGTGTCTCCTAGATCTTATTGAGCTCAAGGTCTTGCTGGAGGATGCAGAGGACAGGAAGTACCCCGAGAAAGCTTTGTTCCGTCGCCTGAGGGAGATGGTCAAAGAGGCGGAGACGTGCTCCTCAGTCGCTCAGCTGCTGCTCAGCCGCAAGCAAAGGCACAGGTCAGTGGATGTTCATACACGGACCCTTAATGTAATCCAACAGAAAAGCAATTTAATGATAACCTAGAATACACTAATACTTAGAATAATTGATTAAAGGCTAACCTATATGTCTCTTCCCACGTGTGTCTGCAGCAGCCGCCTGCGTTCTGAGAGCAGTCGTAATCGTTCAAAACTGACGGTGGATGAGCTCAAGGCCTTTGTGGATCAGCTCTACAGGCTGCCCTGCATCATCAGCCAGGCCCGACAAGTCAAAGTGAGTCCCCCTTGATACCATAGAAGCTTACCCAGGCCTCATCCCCATTCTTTCACCATCAAAACTATTGAATAACTGCTGAACCCTCCACCTCGTTCTTCCTCCAGGAGTTACTGGAGAACGTGGAGGACTTCCACGAGCGAGCCCAGGTGGCGCTGTCAGACGAGATGCCCGATTCCTCCAAGCTGCAGGCCCTGCTGGATCTAGGCAGCGGTCTGGATGTGGAGCTGCCGGAGCTGCCCCGACTCAAACAGGAGCTGCAACAGGCCCGCTGGCTGGATGAGGTGAGAGCTCAAACGGCTATTTAGCTCCTATAAGGCCTAATTTCACCATCAACCTTTTTTAAACTGTGAAACTCAGCGTTTTTTTATCTTAAAATTCGAATACACCACTTTATATATTGTAGGACATAGTGCACATTTTCACTTTTAACTTGTCACCATTTTTATTTTTTGATCTTTTATCAATTTAACTTTATCTCCATATGTTGAATATCTTTAGTTTATTTAATATTTTTCCTTCACATTTTATTTCTAATGTTTATATAAAGATGTTTGTTCACAAAATTAACATTTCTTATTCTAAAATGTGGCACCTGTCACAATCGCCCGGGATAAATCAAATATTCTAATTCTGGTTCTGATTCCCAGGTGCGCATCACCCTGGCAGAGCCTCACCGCGTCACCCTGGAGCTGATGAAGAGGCTGATAGACTCGGGGGTCGGCCTGGCCCCCCACCACGCTGTGGAGAAGGCCATGGCCGAGCTGCAGGAGATCCTCACTGTCTCCGAGAGATGGGAGGACAAGGCCCGCGGCTGCCTTCAGGCCAGGTGAGCGTGCATGTGTAACACATCCGCAAAATACTAAATGGGAATGTTGGCCCTTTCTCCTACGTAGTGTTCATCATTTAATAAAACATATTAGAGACAAATATATATATCTTAAATTAAAACATATTTTATATATCTTGTATTAGACATTTTACTCTTACTTCGTATGTTTTAAATACATTTTTATTTTTGAAATTGTATCTTTTATGGGACATTTAACTTTTCATGTTCATACAAATAAACACAAACTTCTTGTGTTCAATTCAATATATTTATGCTACATTTTTATTTATTTATCACCATTTTCTTTTATTCTTTTATGAATTACCCCTGGGATAAATTGAAGTATTCTTATTGTAATTAACTGGTGCTAGTTACAAAAAATAGTTAGCTATACATTTAGTCATACTTGATAATCATGGCTGTCCGTCTCTAATACCCCCCCCCCCAGGCCTCGACACAGCTTGGTGACCTTGGAGAGCATTGTGCTGGAAGCTAGGAACATCCCAGCGTACCTCCCTAACATATTGGCCCTCCGCGAGGCCCTACAGAAGGCCAAGGAGTGGACTTCTAAAGTGGAAGCCATTCAGGTACAAGAACCTGTTCAATCTAAAGTCACGTGTCCTCTTGAGGGACTGGTATTTGACCTTATAGCTCTTAAAAAGCTCCAATGTCTCTAACAACTCTTCTCTCCCTCTGACAGAGCGGCAGCAGCTTCGCCTACCTGGAGCAGCTGGAGAGCCTCCTGGCCCGGGGTCGTTCCATCCCCGTCCGGCTCGACCCTCTGGGCCAGGTGGAGTCTCAGGTGGCCTCAGCTCGAGCCTGGAGGGAGAGGACGGCGCGCACCTTCCTCAAGAAGAACTCCACGTACACACTGCTCCAGGTGGGCCACCGTGAAACCATGTATTTGACCCATGTCTATCAGATGTATGAATCTTACATGTTGCTAATCCGGTACGCCTTTCTTTTTCTGACAGGTCCTCAGTCCTCGCATTGACATCGGCATCTATGGCAACAGCAAGAGCAAGAGGAAACGCGTGAAGGAGCTGATGGAGAAGGAGAGAGGAGGCTTCGACCCCGACGCCCTGAGCGACCTGGAGGAGAGCCTGGAGGAGGCGCGGGAGCCTTCCACCGTCGTAGCAGCCTTCAAATCAAAGGAGCATAAAGAGGTGGAGTCCATCCACTCGCTCCGCGCCGCTAACTTAGCCAAAATGGCCATGGCCGACCGCATCGAGGAGGTGAAGTTCTGCCTGTGCCGGAAGACGGCCAGCGGCTTCATGCTGCAGTGCGAGCTCTGTAAGGACTGGTTCCACGGAGCCTGCGTGCCTCTGCCCAAAACGGGAACGCAGAAGAAGACGGGTGTGGGTTGGCAGAGCAACACCAAGGACTCCAAGTTCCTGTGTCCGCTGTGTCAGAGGTCGAGAAGGCCGAGGCTAGAGACTATCCTGTCGCTGCTTGTGTCGCTGCAGAAGCTGCCGGTGCGTCTTCCAGAAGGAGAAGCCCTGCAGTGTTTGACAGAGAGGGCGATGAGCTGGCAGGTATGCATGGGGTTAGAGCTTCTCAGGTTACAACATTCACATGCTTTTATTTTGAACCGTAGCCATCCTAACTCTGGTCTAACTGTCCCACCAGGACCGAGCGCGTCAATCTCTGGCCACGGACGAGCTGTCCTCAGCGCTGGCGAAGCTGTCTGTGCTGAGCCAGCGCATGGTGGAGCAGGCTGCCCGGGAGAAAACGGAGAAGATCATCAACGCAGAGCTGCAGAAAGCTGCTGCCAACCCGGATTTGCAGGTACTTTATTGGATTTCACACTGTAATGCTGCATTCGAACAATAAATACAAGAGTCTAGGAATCCTGTATGAAAAGCACCACAAGGGGGCACTAATGGGTAAACATGAAATAGACCACAAGACTCTATAGAGAGGCGAAGTCCCTCCATGGGTCCTTATTTCGGAAAGATTATGTATTGAAGTCAATGGAGAGAGAAAACTTATCTCTCTATCCCGTTTGAATTGTGCCACGACCAAAAAGTCACAGTTTGTCGTAAAACTGTTGAAATATAAGACTATGAAAAATATGCAACTAGAAAGACTACAAATCCCAGAATCCCGGTCCCGCATGCTGGCTCTAATGAACCGACTAACTCCCATTGTGTGTATACAGCTCTCAACATGCCCAGACTTGGAGTGATTTTCACCTCTTTTAATACTTTTCACCTCATTCTGAAAGAAAGAAGTGAAATGTGCCAACGTGACGGCCGTCTTGGTGTGTGGTGCGAGGTGGGAGATGTAGTTCATTGAGAGGTTTTACACATAAAAGTGTTACTTCACAGTTTGACGACACATTATTATTTTTTGACTTGCAAAATTATCTTTTAAATTGACAAACATCATATGTGTAATTCGTGGCACAATTCAAACGGGATCGAAAGCTAATCTTTCTCTCGCCCCTTGACTTCAANAGTAAAATCTCAATACGTAGGACTCCAGACTAGCCAAAACAAATGGTTGTAATGTAGTGGAATTATTTATAATGTACATACTTTTACGCGATTAAAAAAAATGCATTGTGGCTTTTTTTCTTCTTTTTTTCTCACCTTTTAATAAACTATTCCTAGTCAAATGAAAAACAATTGTGATGCTTTTTTAAATGTTGAATTAGTCTGTTTTTAGTTTTGCCCTGTTTTTTGATATTTAGAAAAAATGTAAAGAATTACTTCCTGTTTTTGTCTTAAAGAGAAAATGGAGAGAGGATAGAATGAAACATTTGTTTGTTTTTGTTTGTGTGTCCTTGATTCTGCTGAAGCGTCAGAATGATTGTTGGGTCACATTCCTAGGCCTGAAACGTGACTTGTGGCCTCTTATGTCACCAAGAGGTTGATGTAAGTTGTGAGTTAATCTTCACATTTCCTGTGTTGCTCATTAAGCTCAATTAGGGGAGACATGTGTTGGCATGTTGTGGAGCTCCGGTAGGAAAAATTGCATGTTGAATATGTTTTTTCCCTTCATTATAAGCGGTTAAAATATGCATTTTGTGCAAAACAATTAATTTACACATCATATTGATTTTTACCTACCCTTTTTTCAGATACTATTACTTAAATTCTTGCTGTTTCAACATGGTTCCTTCATGTTTCTAGGTGGGGGGAAAGCGCCAATTTTCTAAGATTGACACATGAATATATAAACAGTAAAAAGGAAGGAGGTGAGAAGGGTTTGTCTCTTCTAACTCTAACCAAGTGAAATCCGGATCGAACGGACCGGAGCTACTTTTGCCTCAGGTCCCTCACCTCTGTCCCTGTGCTGAGTTGGAAGCATGTGATCACGAGGGGCCGCAACAAATCAACACAATGAACCGTAATGGGACATAATTGATTGCGTAACATCTTCATCGACCACTGTTTGTTGTGTAGACCCCCCAACCTGAGAGAGGAATGTACGACCGTTGGCTCTCCTAATGAGCACAAAGGCGTTAATAACCATCTCTTTATAGCATTATATGGTTGGTTTGCTTCTGTGATTTGTTTTATGCTCACGTCTTTCTCCCCAAGCAAGAATGGTAGACATACTGCTGTGTGAAATCAGAAACGTGCTTTGTACCCTTCTTCCAGTGATGGAAAAATCATTCAGATTCTTTGCTTGAGTAAAAGTACTAATACTACACTGTAAAAAAACTACATTTCAAGTGAAAGTACTGCATCCACAATGGTAGAGTAGGATAATGTACTTAAAGTACGAGGAGTAAAAGTACTCATGGGAGAGAAAACTCAAACAATATCTAAATATTTTTGAACAAACTTCACATTAAAGAAGCTGGAAATGTGGAAATATAACACAATTGCTGCCAATTACATTTCTGTTAACCCACTCATATTGTTTAATCTATAACAACTAATCGTATTTAATTACATTAAAACATTTCATTTAAGTACCGTAATTTTCGGACTATAAGCCTTAGGCGCACCTGAATATAAGCCGCAGCAGCGGCATACCACTCTCGGTTCCACTTTTACTTTTGCGCGCTACCTGTCTCACTCTTTTCCGGCCTCCAGCTTTTCCTGCTGGAACCCGCCGCTTAAAGGTGGGGGTCCGCGGACCGGCTCAGGAGCCCATAGAGTTAAAGGTGTTGGCCGTTAGCTGTAAAAATCCATAGATTAGCCGCACCGTTATATAAACCGCAGCGTCGAAAAATGGGGAAAAAGGCGCGGTTTATAGTCCGAAAATTACGGTAGCTATTAAATAAATCGGTAAATTAATTGTAGAGGAGTAAAAAGTACAAAAATAGCTTCCAAAATGTAGTATAGTTCAGGTATAAAGTTGTATAGAATGAAAATACTCTGGTAAAGTACTTAAGATGTGTACTTAAGTACTATTCTTGAGTAAAGGTATACTTTGCACCACTGGTTTCTTCCATCAATGCATCAAAATGCCCGAGTTGACTTTTAAAATGTTTTAATTTCAGCAGCGAAAAACTTTGACCTCTGGCAGGAAATTGAGAAGAACTATATTTCAGAAATCCAAAATCCAAGCCTTATTATTAAGATACATTTACATTAGTTAATTGGAGTACTGTGGAGGTGGTCGATTGCAGCTGTAATTCACGCAATATCATCAAATGTAATCCAATTGGGATCCTATTTTGGACTTTATTTTAAGAATGTATTCTTGACAGGAGATGTACTTTGCTCGGAAAGGGGCAGACGAAAGGCAAAGGAAAGAAAGAGGCCGGCCCTAGTTTAGCATTACAGACCACCCCCACCCACCTCTCACTCCAGTCATTTAAATCCTAAAACTTGAGCATTTTGAGATAAACCTCCAGAGACTGCTGCAGAGATACAGAGAAGACCCGGTGACACTGCAATGAAAGGTAAGTCATTTTTGCAAATTGATTTTCTGGTGATTTTAACTGCACATTTTTTTAATTTAAAACCATGCACGTTTCCCAGCAGGTCCCTTTGCTAAGGTTTATTCCTATTTTCTTTAATTAATATATAAGGACACATTTTGATTGCATTGCAGATTACCACAGTTATCATTAAATGTTAAAAAATAAATGTTTTATGGATTGCAATTTAAAACAGACAATTGTTTATGAACACAAAGCTCATAATGTGTCACATTTGTGTGTGTTTTCAGTTAAATATCAAATTTGCAAGATTAATATAATACTTTTTTTTATATTTTTCCGGCAAAAGAAATGACACAAATGTATAGAATAGAAAAAAAAAGTACAATAAAAAACTGAAAGAATTGAAAATATAAACGGAAATATACAAACATTATTAGTAAACCATAAAAAAAAAGAGCATTTAAAACAACATTGTCTAAACTTTTGACAGGTATTTACAAAGCTGGTGAACTAGAAGCTACACTATCCAATCATATCTTGCTTACTAATAGACAAGGTTTTTAGTGAAAAGAACTCAAAGTGCATGCTTATACCATCCTTCTTATCGGTGTTCAGTAAAAACTACATTATTCTAATTTAGCCCACCCTGCAGCTGGAACTGTTTGCTGTCCTTAGTGCCTTGCTTCATGGCATATTGACTGTTGAAAACAACCCAACGTGCCTTTAAAGCTGCTGCGTCCTCTTCTTTTGGTCCGGTTTGTAGGAGACGCTGCCAAAGCGGGCATCCCCAATGGCACCATGGCCAAAGTCAAGAAGGCCCCATCGGAGGAAAAGATGGATGAGCGGGGCCAGTGGGACAACAAGATAGAGTTTATTCTGTCGGTCGCCGGCTCCATCATCGGCCTGGGCAACATGTGGCGCTTCCCTTACCTCTGCTACAAGAATGGAGGAGGTTAGTGTGAAAGGAGTGGGTGAAAGAAAGTCTGTTTCCTCTGGAACTCTCCTTGACTTCATAAATGATTGTCAGCAATGGCAGGAGGTATGAGTTAAAGACATACAGTAGATTTCCATGTAAGATTCACTGTAGTGCACACATGCAGTATTTTTCCATGAACTTAATAAGTACATTTATGACAGCTATGAACTTGAAACGTGTGAGAACATGTACATGCTTTGCATATTTGGTAACAGGTAGTTTGGTAACTACGTCAACCTGTACATGTTTATACAGGTGGATGTGTATGACTGAAAGGTTACACACACATGCAAACATATGCTCCATGTATTACAAAGGCAAAGAACACAACAATTCAAAAACAGGAAAGGACACAATGGGGGGAAATGGGGCAATGAATGCATTTATTTTAATTGTAATGTAAATGTGAGTGTTTGAGTATCGTGTGATCCATTAAGTGTCCTGTTTCACGAGTGCCATGGATAAGGCTTATCTACCAATCAGAGAGTCATTGTTTTCATCCCAGCAGTCAACATGTCCAATTGCCCTTGGTGATGATACTTAACCCCAATTTCGTCAATAGTCCTGTCAACTGGTATGTGATCCTTTTTTCGTAGTGTAGTATAATATGCAGTCTTTGGTTAGAACACGCACAAGCCAACATACAGTATCATCCCACCTTGAGCTCAGATGAAGGAAGTCACACATATCCAGTTATCAGATTTTGGGCATGCTTGTGTAGGTGTTAAATCGGTCGACCCTCTTTCTCCCTCCATGGGGCGGGGGGGTCAGAGGTTAGAGCCGAGCGAGGTCAGGCAGCTGGTGTTGCTCCTTACTCTCTGCAGCTGTCCCTGCGGAGAGGCGAAAATCTGAGCACGACAAATATCCCCGGACACCCAACGGGGCATCAACACAAAATGCTTGAAAGAGAGTGCAGTGTGTCAGGTCTACATGTAACTAAAAGAGCATTTAAGAGGTTTTTATTTTTATTTTGTAAGTCCCCCAGTACATCTTGCCATTTACTGCATATTCTCATTGGGAGTTAGAACTTCAGATACATTCAGGCATGTATTCTTTCATGTAGTAATTCTTGTACGTGGAATACATCATCTACACTAGACGTCGATCAAGACATTTCCACAGTGATTCAGTGTCAACAATAGCGGAGTTTTAAGTTATAGACAGAAAAATAAACAAGCTTTTTATAGGTTTTATGTAATCAGTAATAGGTAAAGGAAGAGAGGGGTGGAGGCAGAGTCTTTCTCCATGAATCATTATCATGTATCTTGTAACCAGTGGCGGTTCTAGACCAATTTGACTGGGGGGGCCAGTTATTTTCTGAGGGGGGCACAATAAATGCAGGCTGAAAAAGACAAAGACAGTATGAAGTAATTGCGCATAAGAAAACAATGCAATACAGTTATTGGTATTTGTTTCATTACACATTATTATATGCTTACCTTTAACCTTTGTGTGCTGTTTGGGTCTGTGGGACCCGTTTGTCAGTATTTACTAAAATACATTTTATGCAATTAAATTATTTGAACCTGCTTTATTTGGGGGTGGACCTCACATCCTCTAGGGGGGAAGATTCTTTTTTAAATGTTGAAGTTAAATGCATCAATCTGGTGCACTTTGAGCACAAAATGAATTGATGGATACAGCTCTCAACACTCATATGACAGGGAGCTGTATACTTTTCAATAATCCAAGCATCTTTAGAATATGATCACAACCAATAACAAATCATTTAAACTTGTTTATTCTTAACTTATGTTACCTAATTAGCATTCTTTCTTTTTATTTATGCATATTTTACTAATCACTCCCATTTTAAACTGTTTTTTTTGTTGTTGACTGTCCTATAGTACACATTGGAATGATTTCTTACTTAATTTTTTACAACTATATTAAATAGATAAAGGTGTGCTCGCTCACAGAAGCTGTGTGTTCCTCCGTGGCGATGTTGGCTTGCGTTAAAAAAAAAAAAAGTAAAGGGGGGCTATTGAGGGTTTGCGAGCAACCAGTAGCTCGCGATCGACGTGTTGGAGACCCCTGCTCTAATGGGTCCGACTAGAATGACAAATATCGTTAGTTCCGCCTATTCCGTCAGCCAAAAAATCGTTTAATCATAAACTATTTTTTTTTTCATTTTCAGGGGGGCCACATGGGGTTCCAAAGTCAGTGTTCGGGGGGCACTGGCACCGCCTGGTCCCCCCCTAGAACCGCCCCTGCTTGTAACGTTTCCTTAAGATTTGCATATTTCCAAAGGATACTCCACATGCAGGGGACTTACGGAGACGCTTCCCATTCACTTGGGGTGACGTCACGCTTTGCCGAACTGCATTGTGGTTCCGTCGCGTCGCTTTGCTTTC